TTTGGTGATTAATACTGTGAAAAACTGCTAAGATTCCTCTTAATCCTCTGGCAAAATGAAGCAAATCTCTGGGTAGCAACAGATCTTTTTTAGCTATGATCTGACTGAAGTCAGAGAGAAGGCTGTGATCTTACCCATCACATCCTGAACTTTCTCTGAGCGCTCACATCTGATCTCATTATCCCAGGATTCTGACAGCTTGAAAACTCAGGCAACGATATAGACTCAGGCAAAATCGAAAACATATTCTAGTTAGAATCATAAAACACCTTCTATCAAAGAGGGAATCAAAAGGTATGTATTATAGACTTCTAGGTTCTACTATTTCTGTAAGCATTAGCATTATTAAACACATTTAACTATAAAAGAAGTAATAGAAATACACTATATGTTTAGTATGCTACTATTTATAAACTCCAGCTGTGGTGTATCACCTTGCTAACAGGAATATACAATCAAAGTATGTTTCCATGCTACGATGGAAGCATTACTCATTTAAAGAATGTAATATGCTTAAGACAGGCAGAAACAATTTCACAATATTGTCATCGGCCCACTCATAAAAGAAGAAAAAGATGAGTATTCAAAATGGCAGATAGAAACAATGGAACCATTCTGTTGGACAATCACTGGCAGTCACTCTTTTAACTGACAGAATAAAATGTTGTAAAAATAAATGAGTAAGGCCAGGCATGGTGGCCCATGTCTGTAATCCCAGCACTTTGGGAGGCTGAAGCAGCTGGATCACTTGAGGTCAGGAGTTCGAGACCAGGCTGGCTAACACGATGAAACCCTGCCTCTACTAAAAATACAAAAATTAGCCAGGCGTGGTGGCAGGCATCTACAATCCCAGCTACTCGGGAGGCTGAGACAGAAGAATCACTTGAACCAGGGAGGCAGAGGTAGCAGTGAACCAAGATAGTGCCACTGCACTCCAGCCTGGGCAATAAAATGAGACTCCAGCTCTAAATTAATTAACTAGTTAATTAAAAAATAAATGAATGAGTGAATGAATGAAAATGCATGAATGAACGAAGAATGATTTAAGAAACAGAGGGAGAACATACAGGTAGAAGAACTACTGTGTCAAGATGACCATGTGACATTTGTTTATAACCACTCCTATAGGAAAAAACTAGACAAAATCTATTAGTTTGATGTTCGGTGTATATATATATATATTAGTATTCAGGTTGGAACGAAGTTTAAAACATGCATAAGATTAGGTCATTGCCCTGAAGGAACACGTGTGCAGGTGTGTGCATTTATTAGTTCACTTAGTAAATAGTAATTGAGTGCATTTAGGTGCCTGGGAACACAAACACAAGGCATTGTCCCTGGCGTTAAGTGTCAATAATCTAATAGAAAAGATAGTCCTTTAAATAACAATTTACTGTAGCTCCTGATATAGAAGTATATATAAAATGTTATAAGAACATAACATCATAGCAATATTTTCCAAATTATTCAGAAAGAATTATGCTTGTATCTACATAAAAATTTAGGTTTTATTGAAAATTATGTGGTATACATTTATGAAATGCTATAAAAGTCACAATCAGTTTAATTGACTAGAGGCAGATGAGTAGACATAAAGACATTTAATTGAAATATAACTCTTTAACTTAAAAACAAATAATTACAAGTGATATACATTTCTAAACTATATAACGGCCACAGGAAAGTATAACAAGATTGTAGTGAAGTAAAGCTTTATTAAATGACACTGCTGACTGCCAAATAAGTTACTGAAGTGTGACTTCTAGGGCGGTAAGGATTCAGATCATCATTCTACTGTTTGTGGGGTAAAAAACAGAAAGGATCAATGTAAAAATCTCTCAGCTCCCTTGACAGAAAGCTCACCAGTATGCCAGAGACAATGAAATATGAATGGTCTTGGGAGTGGGTGATAAGATCAAGGAGAAACACTAGAGCCACCTTGGAACATTCTGCTTCTCATGTTATGTTCCCAGCATTTCTTTTCTATTGTTAGTGCCACTACTGAAAAGAGGCTCAAGCGTCAACTTAATTCAATGGAAAGCAGGTTGAGACTGCAACTTTTCTCAAATTCACATAGGGCAAATACTGTTTTCTCCCAAGGAGTAAGGTATACAAAATTCTTTTAAAAATTTATCTTAAAGTCTAGACCCACCCTCTGACATGGATCATTGAAGATGAAAACCCATTTAGTAAAGAAAATTGAAATGTCTTCACAGCTAAAAAAAAAAAAGCACTGCTACCTGGAGAACGTGAACTACTTGAGCTGTTGTATCTCAAATACTTTTCTGTCATTCTCCATTATCCATCCATTCAATAAGCATTCTTTAAATGCTTACTATGTCCTAGACCTGAGAATGCAAACCTTTTCTTAAAGGGCCAGGTAGTGAATATTTTAGGACAAGATGTAAAATCAAGGACATTCTGTAGGTACTTAATATAGTAATTTAAACATATACCACTTAAAATGTAAAATTATTTTTAGCTTTCAGTAAAAAGGGTCAGAAATCAATAAAATCAGCATTAATAACATATGTCATTCTCTCAACAATTTAGGGAGGTATTATTCTTCTCAGAAGAGGAAATCAGGCTCAGACTAGTCATGTGATTTGTTTGTATTTGCACATTGTAAAGCCAGTATTCACACTTATGTCTTCTGGGGAACAGTATATTAATATCACCAACTCCCCATATGTAGCTCTCTCACATGCATAGTGATGAAATGATTTCTACTAACGCAGATTATGGAGTATGTCCTAGAAAATGTATTACATAGTATTATTAATTAACATTGGTAATAATATAGTAAGCATTTATGACTTTGGTGACCTGACATTCTTCTAGGTTCTTAGGTCCTTGATCTCAACTGATCATCACAACACCCAATAGAGAAGCGACTATTATTTTTCTGTTTTACAAAGGGGTAAACTGAGGAAGAAAGAGGTTATATAACTTGCCTGGCATCCCATTACTACTCTGTCGCAGAACTGGTGCTTTATTTCACGTCTTCCTTAAGTTAACTTTTTTTGAGATTCAAGTCTCAAGTCTGTTTCAATTTGAGATTATTTTTCTTGTTCATCCTTTAGGATTTCTGAGGAATAACTACTTTCTTTCTTCCATTTCTTAGGTCAAAAAAAAAAAAAAATCCCGTAATTCAAACTATTAATAAAAGCTATACGTTTCAGGAGTAAAGCGTGAACTCATGTGTAGTTTCTCTGAGGGTTAAATTATAAAATTTATGAAAAACCAATAAGATAAGTAATAAAAATCATTCCAGAAAAAAGCAAAATTTGAGAGTAGCCATGTTGGTGATGTTAACATATCTCCCTATGTAAAAATTTGTATGTAAAAATATCCTAAGGGAATGTATTTGGTCAGCAGGGAACACTGGGAGGGAGAAAATGCAGGAGTTTCCCAAGAGGAAAACTCAGACACAGTCCTAAAAATGAAGTAACCCAAAGAAACGCCTTGCCGAAATTCCAGTACCAAGCATTTCCTTACTACAGAGATAGATGAATACAGTGAATACAATCTGATGCTATTACACATTATCATCACTGTATCTAGTGACAATGGCAAATAAGTTTCATGCTACCTGCCAAAACCTAATGAACTATAGTGGAAGATCTTCAGGGCTGCGTTGAAAAGGCTCTGTAGGCCAAGTCTGAACTCAGTGACGATAAGTATCATGACTGATTAGCCATGTCTGCCCAAGTCAGGAGGAAGCGTGGCACCATATATGCAGACCTTTCACACCACTCAATCCCATTTCTCCGATTTTGAGAGCAAAAAATTTGTGAAAGTAATTGGGATTTCATGTATCTTCCTGTACAGGGAATAGCCTGATATCCAAGAGTCTACCTCCCTTGACCACTGTATTTCCGGTCTGCAAATTAATCAGTTGGCATTCTGGTTCATTGACTAGTCTGTTATGTACCTGGTTATATAAACTTAAATTGGGCAGTAACATCCATTCTCAGTGAACTGACAAGGTCAATTTTTCTGAGTCAACAACACTGATGAGCAAACTCAGACTCTGGTAAATTCACAAAAGTAAATCTTATGTGACCTCTTAGAAGCCAAACAGTGAGACAGCCTTCCCATTAAGAAAAAACTCTATCAGACACTTCTTCTAGAATTGAACAAAGAATATTTTTAATCAAATTCAGTTTCACAATTTCCAAATTTAATAATTTCCCTTCTTAAATTTTTTTTCACAGATTTGCTATTGCCAGTGTTAGATGATGTTTAATTCTATACAAACACTCTCATCACCTTTGATTATGATGTTTAAAACCAATGAGAGTACCTTGAGTAGAATCGAGTTCCCTCTCAATCTATGATTATATCAGCCTGTCAACATTATAGTTGTGCCCTGCACAATGATATTTTGGTAATGGACCATACATACCATGGTGATCCCGTAAGATATTATAAGATTAAAATGAAGCTGAAAAATTCCTGTTGCCTGGTGGGTGATATCATAGCCATCTTAATGTCACAGCACAAAGCATTACTCACGCGTTTGTGTGATGCTGGTGTAAACAAACCTATTCTGCAGCCAGTTGCATATAAGTATAGCACATATACTTATGCACAGCACATAATATGTGACAATGATAATAAATGACCATGTTACTGGTTTATGTACTTATTATATTACACTTTTTATCATTATTTTAGAGTATATTCCTACTAATGAAAAAATGTTAACTGTAACATGGTCTCAAGTTCTTCAGAAAGTATTCTAGAAGAAGGCATTGTTATCGTAGGAGATGACAGCTCCACGTGTGTTACTGCTTCTGAAGACCTTCCAGCAGGGCAAGATGTGGAGGTAGCAGACAATGATATTGATGATCATGACCCTGTACAGGCCTAGCCTAGTATGTGTGTGTGCTTCTTTTGTAAACTCAAATACACTCAGTCATACTCCATTTATGACAGCATCATTTCTTTTTCATATGGTCACACCACCCTAACTAAACCCATGTTTCTAGTTTTACCTTTCGGACGTTCGCCAACCGATTCATCATCAAGGACTCCTCTCGATCATCGTCGTCGTCCAAGTCGAGCATCGGCATGCCAAAGGGGTCAATGATGCTGCAACACCTGGAGCCTTCATCTCTTGGATCAAAGGGGTCCACGATTATGGGCTCAGTTCCTTTTATTTCACAACGACAGAAAGGGCAGCCCTGACCATCCGACTCCTAAATAAACAGAAAATGCATGGTTTCAAAACAAACAGTACTGAGAAATGCTAATGTTCTACAACTATAAAAGTCACCCCCCTAAAAAAAGTTTATGGGGTAGGAGGTGGGGGAAGATTTGTCTTGAAGAGGTAATGTGTGTAGAACAGGGAGTCAACAAAATATATAATAAATGGTCAGTATCTTCAGTTTCCTAAGGAAAAAATAAAAATTTAAGTTCGATTTTCCCAAGAAAAGAAACCTCTTTATTTTCCTGAATGTTCACTTATTATTCTAATGTATCAAGGCAATAGAGTACTGAAGAAAACTGGACATTGAATCATGTCTCTCCTTATGAAAAGACAGCAGTACTAACTAAACATTCCATTAAAAAGTACATTTTGGTAAAAATTCATAATACAGCAGTAGTATTGGTGAGAAAAATACAATACCTGTGCATCTAACGTGGCTGAATATTTGTTTTAACTGCCTGTGTATTTTAAAATCTTTATACACAATTAGGAAAAATTAAAATGTGTGCATTTATATTCAAAAGCCATCATCTGTCCTGAAAGCCTCTCATCCTGACATACAACTCATTTGGAATATAAAGTTCTCTGTGAGATAGTAAGTTTTGCCCCTTATCTTGCTTTTAAACAATATGATACAAAAAGATTTGTGCAAATACTTTTGGGCTGGAAATGTATTTACTGGTCATTATTGGACATTTTGCTCAAAGTTTCCTACATTCATTTCTCAAAACTAACTATATTAAAAATTCACAATTTGCAGGGAAATAAAAAGACTGCTTTCTTGCCCTACAGACAACATTGCTTTCTAGAGATAAGATGGTATATGATATTCTCCACTCTATTTTTGGTTTTGTATTATACCCTGACTTTAGCAATGTGTTATTTAAACGTAGTAAAAAATCACAAAATTACTTTAAGGGAGAAACAGGATGAAATAGCACCATTTTAGTGGCAAGACAAGGGATGCAGAGAGCTGATGTCTTTAAAGAAACTGTTCCATAATTAATTCAGGACTGTCCTGTCCACTTAGTTTAATAGGAAATTAGTGATCTACCTGCCCAACAGTGATGTTTGGATCAAGGATGGAATAACTCTCTCCCTCTCTTCTCATTGAACAACTACCTCGCATCTACTTTGTGGCAGATCTTGTGACAGTTTATTCTTTCTAAGCTTCATTCAGCTCAACCAATTGAACACCTCCTTTGCCAAACAAAGTGTCAAAAAACAAAAAACACTGAGCTTGCTTAAGAAAAATAAATTGCAACATTCCCTTATTCATCTGCTTGTATATAATTTGGAAAATAAACTTGGAATGGTAAAATAGTTGAACTAAGGTGGTATAAAGAAATACAGATATATAAATACAGAATCCTTCAAGGTTTCCCACCAAACATGTTCATGTCCAGCGGGCTTCAAAACATATTAATTATTATTTGCTCCATCATTTTATAGATAATAAAACCAAGATTTAGTTCTTCTATTTTTGATAACCTCCTTGCAATGATATTTTCTAACACAGGAGTAAGAAAAACAAAATCTTTCTCTTATAAAAAGAATATTAAATTTGAAGTCATATTCAATATATGTTATAATCCAGGCAAAACTCCCCTTGTTATAAAAGTCAAAAGGGAACCATATTAGGTACCTATAGTGGAATACTTTTACAGATTTACAGAAGACAATTTCAAAAAGACAGTTTTATTTAGCAGCAAGCTGTGCCAGCCTGGGCAACACAGCAAGACCTTGTCTCCACAAAAAATAAATGTTTAAAAAATTAGCCAGGTGTTGTGGTACACACCTGAAGTCCCAGCTGGTTGGGAGGCTGAGCTGGGGGCTTCGCTTGAGACCACGAGTTTGAGGCTGCAGTGAGCTACGATAGCGTGACTGCTCTCAGACTGGGTGTCAGGGTAAGACCCTGTGCCAAAAAAAAAAAAAGAAAAAAAAAGAAAAAAAAAAAAAAAAGAAAGCAAGATCTGAAGATCTGATGGTCCCTCTGTCTTTAACACATGAAGAACGGAAAGCAGTACTTTGAGACCTACGTAGTCGTTTAATTTACTCATACATTTAAAAAAATTATTATAGAAAATCTCAGATACATATAAAATTTGAGGGAAAACTATAATACATTTCTGAGTACCTATCACCCAACTTCCTCAATCCAGTTTTATCTGTATGTTCTCTTGTTCCTTCCACTCTTAGATCATTTTGAAGTACCTCCTACACATCATATAAATTCATTGGTAAATATTTTAGTATCATAACTAAAAACCAAGAACTTTTTAAAGATCTAATTCCAGTACAATTATCATAACTAAAAATTATTCCACCCAATCAAAATCATGAAAGTCACGTTATTTTTTAGTATAGTGCATAGAATGTGCAAGCCACACTATTAGGCTACGTAAGTTTCTCTTTGAACCTCCAGGGTTAACTCACATATCGCTCTGGTTAAGGATGACTTCTAGTTTATGTGATCTATTTCCTTATAAGAGGCAACTGAAAATACTGAGTTTTGAAGCTGGAGGAGGTGAAAGGCAATAATTGTGTCTTTATAGCACAAGAAAAAACAGAACTATTCATCTAAAACTGAATTTAGATTTTTTTCTATGCTACTTGAAAGTTTAATGTTATACAAATTACCGATGTGTGTTAAGAGTACCTACTATAAGAGCAGATATCACAAAATACATCTTCTCTTCAGTTTTGTTGTTGAGAGTGTACATTACTCATCAGATCGACAAACAGCTGCAATGAACACTAATTTTGATTTGCAAACACAGATCACACTGAATGTGTCTCTAATGGTACTTACTCTAATATGACTTCATCACACTTTATAAATAGACTACTGTCACATGCAAATTATGTCTAACGACAAAGTCTCAAATGATACTTTGGTTACTCTGCCCTAGTTTCTGTCAGATGGTTGATTAAATACACATGAAAAATGTCTTCAATACAATAATTAAAATAATGTTTCTGTCAATGTATACTTAATGCAATATCAAATAATATGTGTTAATGGAAAAGAAAGACCAATAAATAACTCATTTTCTAGTTCCCACCATTCTGTGAATGTTAAGAGGAAGTACTGAGGACTTCGTCTATTTAAATGACTCAGTAAGTTTCACTTCCTCAAATAAGAAATACTTCTAAGCCAAAGGATACATAAGTTATCAGTGAATACAATACACAGCTGAAACTCAATTCTGTCATTTCTCGTAATATAGTAAAATAATTCAGACTCACATCTCAACCATTAACACTGTAAGTCAGTGGCATTACTTAAAAATATAACTTTAGGTAAACTCAGAAAAAAAACAATGACAAACAAATACAAAAAAAAAATTTAAACCTTCATAATACTCCATTCTCCACAAATACTCCATGTAAAAACTCAAATGAATATTGTTAATACCATCTCATCACCATCATGTATCCATCACCTTCCATACTCTGTTTAAGTATTGCTAAGATAGATATACTATATCTCAAATACGTTCTTTTAAATGGTTTTCAAGATAGCATTATATATAGTGTAATTTATTTGCTTTCAGCCTGATCATTAGAGGCATACTTTGACTTAAGGTTAATCATTTTATGCCTTCCCACAGATATAACATACACCAAGGGCTGTAGGGTATATACATAGGGCCTCCTAAGTCTCATTTCGGAGTGTATTTTATATTTTTACTGTATGTGTATGCATATGCATGTGTGTATTTTTTCCTTTATGAATAACTTCTAATTTATATTACCTTGCTGTATTTCATGTAGCTATGAGGCTGCCACAAATCTTTTTTAAAACATAGCAATTATAACTGGAAAAATTACATGTATATAAATGCACTGAGAATAGGTTGGATCCATACCAAGAATTTTCAAAGCACAGTATCTCCCACAGAAACTCAGTAACTCCTGGCTGAAAGAACGAATGAAAGAATAAAGAAGGATAGTTAATAGTAATTTTAGACAAAATGCCCCAGAGTGGGAGAGATCTTTGGTTCTGGTTTATTTTATGATGAACAAGGGAAAAAGACATTGGTGAATCTAGACTCTTCCAGTTCTGATTTGGGAGGCCCATAAAAGCCTGCATAGTGAATCAGAAAAGGAGCACAGATACTCTGAATTAGGGTACTTGGACTGGACTTCTACCTTCCCCAATTACAGCTGTGTGACCCTGGGCAATTCATTGCATCTTATATACAGGGTACAATGAGATAATGCACATTTAGAGACACCATAAAGTGAGATAAATTATTTTAAAGCTTTATAAAGTGCTATAAAAATTCCAGTTGGCATAATTAGTATAAAAATAGTCTCAAGAATAAATACAGTAAGAAAACTAAGGAAACATATCCTAACATTTGAAAAAACTCACATCTCTATACGAATTCCATTTTGTAATGAAATGAATACAACTTAAAACCTGCAGAATTATCAGTGTGCATAGATTAATCATAATTGGAAATATGAGATATCTCCTAAGTACTTTATTAGAAACAGTAATAACTAAAATTCTAGGTACTGTTGTAAGCACTCTCTAAATATTAATTCATTTAATCCTATAAGGTAGGTAAAATTGTTGTTCCCCCTTTTACCAACAAGAAAAATGGGTTTACTGGTTTGATGAAGGTCACATAGCAAGCAACACTAAGTAGGAAATCACAACAAGGGGTCTATTTCAAGAGTCTAATCATTTCAACACTACACTATAGGATCAGCATGTAGCGGTTTTTCAAACTCAGATTCATAGCCAAGGTTAAAATAAAGGTGAAAAATAGCCAGTTGCTACTACTGATCATTCACAAATGTAAAAAATTTAAAACTATTTTGCTTAAATTGCAAATTTCAAAATTAAAAAAACTACTAAACTCAATGAATATTCTGTTGGCTCTAATTGAAAAGTTTCAGCTCTTTAACAGGAAGACGTAAAATGTATCTGAATAATTATACCATTTCTGAGGATACGTTTTTACATAGTAAAAG